TAGGCAAAGGCTACTGTCGTGTTACACAGTATTTAGTTCCTGGAACTAAGTCAATTTCGTGACGTACACCTCTATCAGGTGGCATTATAGATGGTAGATTATGACACACTACATCTTGGAAGTTCCTTAAATAAAGGATAAAATGGATTTAAAGGATCTTAAGGGATTAAAAATCCACTCTCGGCACTGGATGACGCTTTAGTGTCCTCTATGACCGACTCACTTACTCTTGAGGACGAGTTTAATTCAAAAATCGGGTCTAATGGCCACGAATTCGTATAAAATCCTTTGCCTTTAAGGCCTGGCGAAACTCGCCGTCAGACATTTCGTCTGGCTCACACAGAGCATCAAAAGATGGAAGGTTTTCAAATCTAACATTGCCATCAACCTGACCGGTCACTCCATTTACAAGCGTATATAGTGTATTACTATAATCACTCAGTGACTATGTGGACGCCTGGCGCTCAACAATTGCAACCTGGCGTCCAAGTCGTCTCTTGTAGACTTTACAACCCTTAGGTGTCGGGACAATACCGCCCCCTTTACTGCAACTAATAGTAATGCGCTCTACACGAGAGCCAATGTCTTGACAGACATCCGGTAAAGTGTTACATGACACAGAATCTTCACCCAGTGATTTTTCACGTGACACTCCACGCACAGTATGCGGTCCTAGTCTGAACTGAACGGCGTTTCGCCAACAATGTCATTACCTACAATGAGTGTGGTGCCCTCACGGCTGCCCACGCTTGATGAATATTCACGTGCCACCTCACGCACATCAAAGGAATCACATCCTTAATAATACGGCCCTAGGCCAAGCATGTTTTCAGCAAGCAGTGACTCGTTATCACAACGAGTAACACTTAATGGAGTACGTGTCTTATCACCTATTTTCAACGAGCTACGCTCGGAATCTATGTTTACAACATTAGGGTCAGGCAGCTCAGACATGCCAATGTCCAGCACATTGACATCTTCTGTAAAAGGCTCGCGCCAATAGTGCTTCTGTTGCCTAGCGAAGGTGGGTTCATGACTCTCCAAAACTTCTCTAGGAATTTTGCGCGTGGCGCCTTAGGTCTTAGACCTCCAATCAATTTATGGCTTATGATGTTCAAGCCATGCCATACCAAGGATGAGATCACATCTCGAGTCCAAATCAAGGAAAAGACAGCGTTCAACGCTGTCAAAAAATCCAACAACTGTATACCTAAGTTTAATGGAACTTTAGGCACAGTAACACGACTTCCAGTCGCTAAACGAACCGTGATAGAATCACCATTATGCGCTGTAAGGGCCTCAGCATAACGTTGACTTCCATCAAGGGAACGACGTCGAGCGTAATTTCAAGACGCTCTAGAGTCAATAAATATCGTCCAAGGCCTCTCAAATCCCTAATTTTGCCTCGGTGATTAAAAAGCCAGACTTGTATCCACGCTTCATACCAGTAGGTACGGAGCTCTTTGGGGATAAGCCCTGTTTACTTTGCCTCCTAAATGTGTAACAGAACCCAGTTATTCCCCAGTAGTGCGCCCCGCGCCTACAAGGCGTCGGCATATCCCCGTGCCATGCCAGACTTCTGGCTCGGGGCTGAGTGTTGGCTTATATCCTGACGCTGTTTACGCAAAGGGCAACCAGGCCGCAAGTTTTCAGTGCTTCCGCACGTAATTAATCATGGTACGACGCGTTGCTGCTCCGCAGCTTTGAGTTCAACTGCACTCTCATCTTCAGCATAGCTGATATCCATCGGTTCCGGCCTATTAAATGCTAGACCACTCGTGGAGTTTGCTCTCGCAGAGCTAGGGTTGTATATATTCCAGCCAAGCCTGGCCAACTTGAAGTTATGCTCAGCATTAAGAGCAATTATCACGGGCTTTTTGAACGTAGAGAGGTGGACTTTTTAAAACTTCGGTTCTGGTAATGCCAGTACGAAGACCTTCCATGAAGATAGTCACATGAACTGCCTCAGGTAGAGGGTCACAATTCATTGCAGCCATGAGAGTTCTCAACTCTTGGACATAATCCGATAACTCATTCATACCCTGACGGGTAGATAAAAAGCGTGAACGCACACGGTAAGCTTGGTTAGGTGGTGAGATCACCTGTACCAATTGTGACTTTAGCGACTCCTATGTAGAAAACGCTAAGTCGACCGACGTGCAACACGTCAAGGCCCATTCTCTAGCTCTTCCATCGAGCTTTGAGATATCCGGCGAGACCTGTTGATGGCCGAGCTTGATCGGGCCTGATCTCATGGCCATCTCAATCTCACGGAATCAGAGGATGAGGTGTTCACCCTCCTTACCGGAGCAATTCTTAACTTCCACTCTTAGTGGACGAGGCTTAGCCTCTTCGTCTGGTACAGACACATAGCGTGTAGGCACAACCGACGCTACTTGGTCCTAGAACTGCCCTAGAAGAGTCGCTTAATACTGCATGAAGCCTTCAGCACGAGCATTTAGCACCTCAGTGCCTTGGGTGAGACAAGAAACTCCACGTAATCTGGACCCAAAGATATGGTCAGCTTATCAAGCGCGACCTTCTGGGCATCAGAGAGGGGAGTGGGGGTTTCCATCTTCACAGAGGATCAAACCGTAAGAACTCATGCGTAGATTGACTACAAGTGCTACCAAGTGTAGTGGAGCCACACAGCTCCTTAAGTCAGAGGAAGACTCAACGCTCAACGAGCAACTTAGCTCTAAAGAAATAGACTCAATGAGTCAACCAGCGTAAAGCTTATGGTCCTTGTTTCAGGGGACCAAACGATTCAATGAATTGACAGAATGTAGTGCTCAAGCGTAACTAGCTACCTCAGGGAGGTGTTTTGCTAACGCTTAGTTGTCATCGTTTAACGACCAAAGACGACTCGCGAGGCACGTGTCTTTAAGATCAAAAGGGGAACTGAAATTTATTTACATTTACACCTATAGAATACCTTAACCTAAGTAAGTAGAACTAAGATCTCTCCTATCTGGTGGCTGGCACCAGTCAGCCCCTGCAAACCGATAAGATATTCTATATCTCTTTCAGTGGTATCATCCGTGTGTTTAAGACACAGGGTACACCAGGTACCGAACTACTTGTGACTCCGTCACAAATAGAGTATGTTTGTTTTTCGAAGCCCGTTTACACACTTGTACACTATCATGATATTCTGCGGCTATTCACTTTATTTGCGGCTATTCACTTTATTTGCAGCTATTCACTTTATTTGGGGCTATTCACTTGTTCATTTAGGCGAGTTGTTTGATTCTTTTTGGGGATTTTCCGTTTGGTAATAAGGATTGACCATTGAACTTCGAAATTACTGTGCGTTCCGGCGAGCACTAAGGAGGTCAGACAACGAAAAAACTTAATTCGACGTGACCTCAAGCTTTTATCCGCACACCTGATTTTATCGGATAGCTACAAACCCCCCAGCGTCCAAATTGAAGTCATGGTCAGGACCTTTTCTACTAGGCAACTGACATCTTTTCATTCCAAATACTCGACTTGCAACTGCGTCCGCTTCAACTTTGAATTGGAAGCGACCTGGTCTAAAACAAGAGCAAATCTCATTATCAGGACCACAAATGTCCAAAAGTCCCAAAAGCAGGACTATAGTTTAAACAAGTCTAAAATTGATAGATACTTAATGTTAGCCACATTATACTCAACTGCAACATGGGATAAGAAACTGCCGGATCACTAATGGGTCTATCCATTTTTTTGACCACTGTCGCGAGTGGTCAAAAATCGCACTTTTTTTACCAACGGTTCGTTTACTTCTCAATTTGCGCCCACGAGCCGATGTGCCCATTTAGGTTTTGGCATATTGCGTGCGAGCCAGGGCCCGGTCGCACGCACCCGACGAGCTCGTGACCGGGGGACTCCGTTATTACACCTTGCACTGTCGATTTTGATTAAATCAGTAATTCTTTATGTACGCGGTTGCAGCAACGCCAGTTCGAAAGGTTTTACAATACGTCAGGTCAGTAGTACCGTGATTGGTGTCAATTTCGATTGCTGCAGTCACTCGAGACATCTCAAAGACATCTTTCAGTCCACTTCTTGCGCTTACGCTTAAACGCTCAAACTAACCATTCAAAATAAACAGAATGAGGTAGTGAACAATTTTTTTTAATGATTATTGCTTTTTAGACCGGTACTAATTTCTATAAATATACATAACGCAAGAATTACACTTTTCTATATATTTCGCCCTTGTCAGTCAAACAAACTCCTCGCACTGCAACATATCCACACGGACATAGGACACAATCGCTAAGCAGGACACTCGACATTACTTGATTCCACTCGACGCCTCTCTATTTCACTGGATGCCACTTTACATCACTGGACATTACTCGACATCACTTGAAACGCACTGCAACCCATACATACAGACAAAGCATGCGATCGTTATACAGCACAGTCGACATCGACAGCATAATAACCTGCTACCGCTGCTCATGAGAGTTGATTCAATAACGGAGTTTACCAGTCACGAGCTCGTCAGGTGCGTGCGACCGGGCCCTGGCTCGCACGCAATGTGCCCAACCCTAAATGGGCACATCGGCTCGTGGGCGCAAATTGAGAAGTAAACGAACCGTTGGTTAAAAAAGTGCGCTTTTTGACCACTCGCGACAGTGATCCAAAAAAATGGATAGACTCATTAGTAATCAGGCAGTTTCTTATCATATGTTGCAGTTGAGTATAATGTGGCTAACACTATGCTAGTTTGCATACTCAACCCAAGTAAAAAAAAAGATAACTTTAGACTTGCTTAAACTATAGTCCTGCTTTTGGGACTTTTGGACATTTGTGGTCCTGATAATGAGATTTGCTCCTAAAACAACGCGAACATAGAGACGGTCAGTAGAAAAGACAGTCAGTCCCTGTCGCAGGCGTGACACGACCACACGTCGCAGATAAAAACGATGTGACTGATAGTTTTGTGGCAGCAACCCATCGGATTGGCTAAAAACACACATGCGCCACCTGCAATAGCCATCCTCAATATGGCAGATGAAGTCAAGTGCGACGGAATCGTTGACCAAGCTGATCGCAATAGCGACACCACTGCCAACGACAGCACCATCAGAATGGATAACCACAAGGAAGAGGAAGATACTGGAAGTGAAAACGGACCGAGTGGTCAGGAGGAAACTGCGATAGACGCTATTGACGTGCGTGACTTTTGTATTGACGTGGAGTTGACACTTGGTCGCTATGATAATTACAACAAAACGGTTTGCTGACCTTGTTCTTGTGCCTGTTCTAGTGCTGCATCTGTCAGGACCAAGTGCAGGCTACGAAACAAGGCCATTTGTCTCACTGTGAGCACGACCACTTTCACTTTGACTGTATCATAGCGTGGGCTAAGGTCACGAATCTCTGTCCTCTGTGCAAGACCAAGTTTAACGTGATCACTCGACGGGATGCAAGCGGGATAGAAGTACATCGGCAAGTAGTTAAGGACGCGAAGCAAGTGTATCGACCTGATCCTTTGGACGACGATCTTGCAGCTCAATTGAGACTTGTACATGAAGCTCGGTGTGAACTTTGCGGCTCTGGGGATGACGAGCACGTGTTGCTGCTATGTGATGCCGTAGGATGTGGCGTAGCTAATCACACGTACTGCATTGGACTACGCGAAGTGCCAAACACATCGTGGTATTGCTCAAGACATGCCACAACACAGCTGAGAGCGAGTGATGCTATTCGACGACCTGCGACGACAGTGACGACTCGTCGCCGGACGCGGAGGTTAGCGAGCTTGATGTCAAATGTGCTCCGTGAACGGAGCGGACCAGTGATGACAAGACCTCGTTCAAGGAGAACGTCCGGCTTTGGTGATGCAGATGAAGATGAAGACAGACGGCCCATGGGAGGGATTGCTGCAGCATATGCTGTAAGAATGTCGCAAGAGCTGATGCAGGTGCAACAGCGGGCGGACGCGATGTTTGCGCGCGGTGACTTGACGCCATCTTCATTATACGAGCACAGAGATCGTTCTGCGCCGAGTGGTGCTCAGTACCAAACGAGGTCAACTATAGCTGCATCGGGGCCATCGACAATCGACCGGATGTGGGACGAGAACAGTCGAAGCAGACAAGAAGCAGTAGCAGCAGCGATCGCAGCGCGTGATCATGGCTTGCTTGGTGGCAACGGGGGTAGCATTCGACTGGGTCAGCGGTCTGGTATAGTGTCCGATACATTTGCCGCGGAGTATTGCGCGCTTGCAAAGCTGATGGAGGGTGCCGTAAGCAGTGACAATTATGCATCATCCGTATCATTGTTGATACCAAGGACGGCCAAGTTGGGATTGGTGTCTCGCGTCAAAACCTTTTTCAACCGGCAGAACGAAAAGGAAAAGGCTGCTGCAGTTGAATTAGGCTGCTTGCCGATTTTGCATCAGTGGATACGCGTGCCAGTGCGGGATGGCGACACAACGGCACCCTGCTTCAATCCTCAGGTACTTCATGCAGTGCTAGCCATCCTGGAAACATTGCCAGTACGAAGGGAAGATCTTGTAGAGGTACGTTCTTATATGCAATATTTTGACACGGATTTGGGGACGGTTTCATGAGTGAGATGACTTTCAGGAGGAAGGGTTACAAGATACGATGGACAGGCTTTCAGAGCTTTCGGATGTCAGCATCGAAACACGGCAACGAATAATTGCGCTGGGCGATCGTTGGCGCAAGCTGAATCCTCCAGCATTGAATACATCGCCACGACCTCAAGTGAGCCGGCGTGTTTCGTCTCCTGTTCATGTGACGCACGATTTGCCTGTTATCGCTTCATTCGCCTCACGCCAGCGGCCGGTACCAGCGAACGGCAAACGAAAGCGTGATGCGTACGTAAATGTGTCGTGATTACTCGTGCGTTCACATATACTGGTATGACTGGTGCTGACGTCAAATGTCAATTGCAGTTGGTCCGATGCTGTCGTTGAGTACGTGAAGGCCAAGCTATACCCCCTGTACAAACAGAACGCTGGCGCTGGCAAGCTGACGCGGGAACGATTTAAGGCGATCGTAAAGGACGTGGCTAATCTGTTTTCCCAAGAGGCATCATCAATGCAGTCTGCGGTGCTGCTACCTTCCGGTGAGCTATCCAATCTTGCAAAATCGCGCGTGAAGAAGCTCATTGACAGAGTGTACAAGGAATCCATTAACAGAGCTTCTGCTCCGTACCCCGCTGCTTCAGCACCCTTACTATCGAGTGTATCTGGGCTAGCTTCAGCGTACTCTGCAGTGCCATCCATCAAGCCCCAACGCCGAGTATGAAGCGCTGTTAAGTGACATTGTTGACCAAGCGGTGTTCGGCGGTGCGTTAGATTTGACTTGTGTTCTGTACGATAGAAAAGTAGCATACAGGTTCATGTTTACCCACACGTCAATTACAAGCACCGCATCACGATTGATACTGTCAATACGGTCGAGTGTGATGATTTACATGTCATGACAAATACGGTCCAAGAGATGCTGCCGAGTCTTCTCGCGAGATTCCAGCATCACTTAACTTCTTCTTCTGCACCATCTGCTCGACGATCCACTCGGTCTTCATCTTCTGGGTCGTCAGCTTAGCCTGTTGCAGTTGCTCCTGTGCTAGCGCAAGGTGCACCGTGTGCAGCTCACTCTGTCGTTCTTCACGTTTCGTTTCCAGCTCCAAACGTCGGCTTTCCTGCTCAAGTCGGGCCGCCTGAAGACTCAACTTTCGTCGGAAGTACTCGTTCGACATCTTGGATTCACTCTGTTGTGAATTAGTAGTAGAAGTAGCAGTAATACTATCTCCAGGTCCCGCCGCTGCTTGTGCCACCATTGGTGCCTGTTCACTCTCCCGTCCTGCCGTCACCTCAATCCTTCGTCTCTTTGTATTCCGAGAGCGGCTGCCCGCGTCCACATCATCTTCAGCAGCTGCAACAACACCCAAAGCACCGGATGCTGAGTTCTGAGACTGCAAGAGCGAGACCGTTGGAACGCAAACCGCAGCCGCCGGAGCAGGCACCAAAGGAACGGCTTGCATCCCTTCAACAGCCGCGAAAACCTGCGTCGTTGACGTCGGCGGTGGTAGTGGAGCCATTGGCCCTTCACGGTTCACAGGATCGCCATAGACCTCTTGCTGCTGCTGGACGTAGACGACATCGTGCAGCTGCTGGTCTCCAGTCGTCGACACGTGCCCTGCCGGTCCTTCTGCAGTCGAACAAGCAACAAAGACGACAGGGTCCTGGCCAATCTCGTGCCGCGTCGAGGCTCCATGTGGTCCGAGATGATGACAAGTCTGAGTCGTCGTCTGATTCGGAGTCGTCATCTGATTCGGAGGCTGCTGCTCTTCGTCGTGGTGAAGTAAGATCCGCACAAACGCGTCTTTATTGCGGCGGCGCGGGTTCGTCTTGAGTTGCCGCTGCGTGATCTCGCGCTTGAGCTGCATGAGCGACCACTCCTTGTAGTCGTCTGAGTGCGGGGGCGCACAGCGCTCGTCGCCTTTGGCCGACCACAGACGAGACACGGGCGCGCCGCCCCACGGCGTTGCAGCGTGCATGAGGTCGGGCAGCAAAGCGAGACATGGGTGCAGGCTGTTCGCGGGTGTCGAAAGAGTATGCGATTGGACAGGGAGAGGCGTCGCTCAGCCTGCGTCATCATCGTGGCGGGTCGGTGAATTTCAGGATAACAAAACTATATTCGAATCATCCAGCATTAGGGTAACTGCAGCGTTGCATTGGAAGGGGATCGGGGTACGGTACAGTTTCGCGTTTTCTGCCAATGCGATGGGGTTTTTTGGTACCCAAGATAAAAGAAACACAGGTGCTTGAAGTAGCAGCTGCAAGCGCCGGATCAACGAGACAACGAACGTACATACAAGGTGGAACGCTACAGTGACTGTCGTGTCTGAAATGGACAACTTGCTACTCGATACTTGCACAAATGATTGATATTTCACACTCGACATTGGCTGCAAAGCCGACTCGGGTTTTTAAAGTTCAACTACGATGCCGCGCGAGTCGAAGCTCGATGCAAGCGTGTCTAGCACTGATTTTGTATGGCTCATCCGAGCGTCACGTAATCATCTTTGGCAATACAATGTTGTAAACATCGCTGTGATGGACGTGGATGGTGGACAATTGCCACTTGAATGCTTCACGGGACCAATGCAGGGTCTTTGACCTGCTAAAAAACTATCGAGTCGCTCCTGATGAGCGTTGCGCATACCGAGTTCGAACTCACGACTTGCTGCTGAACTCGTCCGTCCTGCAATCTTGTACAGACGTGTGATTATTATAGCGGTACAAATCCGCGATTTTGTTGTGCCGCTAAGATGGCGGGACGTAGACCGGCATCGGCCTAAAGACTGAAGCATCACATACATTCATGGTCATGGATACTTGCAAAGTTTCGAGATCCGTGGTCGACTACAGAGCATACATTCGTCCCTGACTAGAGCAAATCTAACTTTTACGAATAAAAACCTTCGTGCTCACAAAAAAAGCTTTCATACAGCAAGCCAGCGAGGAAACCCAATCGATGCGCATAATGACATTTTTAAACAGGATGAGTCAGATGTGCACCGGCGGAGACCCACTACCGAGCAATCAGCGCTTCAGCCGATGAATATGACTTTGCACGTAACAATTGACAAGCTCGTTGAAAGAGAGCCACGAGCTATCCCGGTGGAACGAGTATCAGGCCGCGGTTGTTCGAGTGTTTTTATAAACCTTTTCCCGCGTCTTGTTCGTTCGACGTCTACCAACATCGCAACGTCTGTGCGAGCGGCATCCCTAAAATGACCCTAGCAAAAAGTAAAAAAAGCTGTATCGATCTTTCTGAAGCTCATTCGCACCGTAGACAACCTGCCTTCGATTCGATGACTCACCAATAAAAACATGGCAACAATTTTGGATCGACTGTCCTCATATTCGGTGCGTCTTACACGAGGGTTTCCACCGATAGCGTTTTGCCCGCAAGAAATTTGTTGATCGCACTCGTGCACTCGGTGTGCTTCTCGTGTTGCAGAATGTGGCCGCAGTCGTCAAATAGCAGCACTTGGCTTTGCACCTCTGGCGTGAGTTTGCGCTTGAGCACATCTACTGACGAGACGTCCAGCACATGATCGTGCTTTCCCCACATGATCAGCGTCCTCGCTCGAATGTTAGGCAGCAGAGCTTCCAACACGGTCGGGTTCTGCAACGAGTCGCCGACAATTTTCTCCAATACTGGCAGCTGTTTCCTTCGTTCCGAAGCAATGAGTTTCAAAAGAACGCGAGGGATCTTTCGAGGTTCGTAGCTCAGATGTTGATTCATCTCATCCAACTCCTCAATAGTATGCGCAAGCAGGAGGTTACGTCCCGAGTCCTCGAGCATGTCCAACAGCGCGCTCTTCTTTGGCATGGAAATGCCAGCTGGGCACACCATCGTCAGGGACTTGACTCGGTCAGGGTAGAGAGCCGCGTAGACTCCAGCGAGCATGCCACCCATTGAGCACCCGACGAGATGAATCTTCTTGTCAGCAGGTACTTGCTTGTCCAAGAACTCACGCAGTCTCTCGGCCTGATGAGGCATCGAGTAGTTGGTCAGAGCGTCAATTGGCGTGGTCCGCCCTTGACCAGGCAGATCGGGAATCACGATTTTGTACCGTTTGTCAATGCCACGGGCGACTCGAACCCAAGACTCTTTCACGGAACTGAACCCATGGAGGAACACGACAACGTCCGTGTGCTCCTCGTCTTTGCCGGGTCGCTCGATGTAGCTCCAATTGTACTTGTCAATGCTCGAGTTCTTGGCGGAAAAGCCAGAGACGAAGCGAACGACGTCGTATACCGACATCATGAGTGCTGCCATGATAGGTTAGTGGCGAAAGGTCGAATGAAGCTGCTCTGGGATTGATTATGGATGCTTGCTTGCTCAGGGGCTGTTGCTGCGGTGTCGCATATGCAGTTGCGAGCGGCTCACAGTATAGATGGAGATGCGGTATACGTAATCGCATGTCACTTTTGCGGGGAAGGCGGGTTACCGAATCGACTGTCACACTTGTTTACCTTATGCTGCGACGGATCATAAACGTTCTAGCTGTGAATTGTTAGGTGCATTGAATGGTGCACTTAAATCGAGACATTGCACGTTATGCTGCTTTGAAGACCGTATAACAACGTGGATGCGGTTCAGCATCTCCTGTCGTGAACACCAGTGACACAGCATTACACCCGCATATCGTGTTGGAGCAAAACGAGTCATATCGTTGACATATCGACAAGATTTATTGAGCATTGACTTCTTGAAAAGCAGTGAAGTTACACTCCCTTCTACCGCTCTTCCAGTTCCCATGCCCTCTTTCTAGTATGCATCGACGTTTGCGCTTCCTGCCACCACTACGTTGTATTACATGGAAGTGCGACTGAATCGACGAGTAATACAAATGTGTCCACGAAATACCACAAGTTTACAGGCGGCGTCAAAATACACAAATGTCGCACGATTAGTCGACAGTTGAAAGGGTGATGTCCGCGCAAATGTCGATAAGGTCATACGTAGCGGATGAGGAGGAGCGGATCCCTTTGTGCTTCACACATCGCAATCGCATCGCTTTTTTTGCGTGCCTCCCGATTCCGAAGTCATCGACTTGTAAGCAACGGACCTGCTCGGGGAAGAATGTCTTGATTTCGACGTTCGTGCTGAACGTCGTGACGTCTGGACATATCTGCGTTCAGAAAGAACTTTCTGGTCCGACCAACCACGCCTAAACTTTGGTGGGGAAGAAGACGCGCCCGTGTTGCGAATCGCTAGGTCATGATGTACTGCTGTGTACAAAACCTTATACTGCGAAAGGCATTGAAAATGAAGATGCAGGGTGAATGCTCAACTCATACGCGAAATGGCTAGAAGAGATCACGTAAGTATGGTCTCCTGTGAGAGCGTGCTTGCTGGCTGGTTGCGTTAGGTGTTACCTGACAACCTATGAATCGTAGCATTAGACCCGTCACGTAGACTGGGAGGTAGGCTTGATGCTTGGTTTTCGCGGGGCCTCCTGTTAGTAGCAGGGGCACGTGGTCGATATACGGGCATAACTGTTGAGCGTTCCTGTATCACATAAAGCTCGCCGCGGTGACTACGGAGAGCACAAGTTATGGTGTTCTTGCACCTGCATCATTTACAATAGCAGCACAGCAGGTTCTCTGGCGAAGCTCCCCCACCAGCAGAAATGAACTGCTTTCTCGTTGTCGCGTGTGCTCGTGATCTACTGGAAAGTTGGTAGTGGAATTGACAGCACGTACGGTTCTACGCCGCTCGCAAGTGGCACGAAAGGTCTACATGGTAGGAGGATCTTGACCACAGATGGCAAACTGACGCCTGATGGAAGTGAGCGCAAAGCGTCTGCTCGATGAGTGAGCCAACTTTGATGTGTGCTGGATGCCATGCCATCGCAGCCGACCCTGTGGCACGCACAAAAGGAGACCGAATCGACTCGAGTGCGTTCTTGGTATTCAAGTCACACGCAATGGCACGAGATCGGCCATTACTTATGCTCAAAGTATTCAGCCGACAATCAGGCAACTGCATCTGCTCTCTTCAGACAATCACGCGACCACGTCGGAAGAGTACAGCTTACCACAACGTCGTGCTCGTCGAGCGTACAGAAAACCCGGAGCGAATGATACAAAGCAAAAACTGTGTAGTACCAGTTTGCGATCACAGTGTTGAGCAACACGAACGGTCTCACGTCTCCACAATTCCCCGTGGAACGACTCGCCCACTTCTGTACCACTGCAACTTGTCATCTGTATCACAGCTCGACGCACGACGAAGAGCTCAAGCACGTCTCCTCCACCCGTCGAACGTATCAGTTCCAATTTGTTAGCAAACGTCTTACCACGTCATGGGTCTCTTACGCGTGCTCGGTGCTTTTGGTTCCACTACAGCAAAGCTCGTGCGATTTGGCAAACGGTTTGAAGCCCGCTCAGCGACTGTGGACCAATTTCAATGGAGCTACTTGATCCGGCCTGCGGCCGACCCAAAGAGTCGGGAGGTCGTGGTGTTTTTGCATGGTCTAGGGTCGTCAAAAGAGACCTGGGTCCGTGTTTCCAGCGGCTTGAGCAAGGACTACCATGTGATTATCCCTGATTTGCCAGGTCATGGCAAGACGACTCCGCTCGACCCGCGCGTGAACTTTGCGGCGGACAGACAAACGCGGCGACTGCACGAATTCTTCGAGTCGGAACTCTACCCGAACAACAAGGTACATCTTGTTGGCACTTGCATAGGTGCGACTGTTGCAGGGCTTTACGCTGCAATGCACCCGACACGGGTCAAGTCGCTATCTCTACTGTGTCCATGGGGCATTTCGGACTCTAAGGCGACGAGCGCCACGCTCAGTGACATTGAACGTCTGGGCAATAAAATCACTTTGCAAAGCCCAACAGCGACGTCCACGAGCGACGTGAGTGAATGTCGTGACTACGCAGTGAGCGTTAAGCACAGACTTCGTGTGTTTCGAGACCTTGCGATGTATAAGCGTGGACGCGAGTGGCAAGTATTGCAAAAAGTCGGCGTGGACACTCTTGCGCACCCGTCCATCTTGGAAGACGAACTTGACAACATTCGAGCTCGGACCATGGTGGTCTGGGGCAAACAGGACAACGTCCTGAATGTGTCGTGCCTAAAGGTACTCGATGACAAGCTCAACGTGACGCACAAACACGTGCTGGTACTCGACGAATGTGGGCACCTCATCACAAGTGATAAGCCCCTCGAATGCATCGATCTGCTTAACAAGTTTCTCGGGGACTTCCAACTCAGCTTTCCATCCGCTCTTGTCGAGTGAGCGTTCGTCGTGGCTGTTTAGTTACTCTCGCCACAGATGGAATGATGGTGTATTTATTCCTTGTAAGCTGCTTGTCGATGTAACGAAAGCATGCAATGCGTCAGGCGTCGAAAGATTTGCGCTTCGAAATGTATTAGGTCAACTGCGATCTTCACTTCTTTCTTACCGTGCTGCAAGACTCTACGATCAAATGACATAGTCACACCCGGATGCTCGACCTTTTGGACATGGTGCAGAAGACTAAAGCCCCCCCCCCCGCCGTTTAAACGCAGCAAGGACGTGCAATCATGAAAGATCAAAATCAAGCTCACCGTTTCCCGACGTAAACCAGCGCTCATCGATACCCTTGACCAGTTGTTTGAGCGCAAATTTCGCTATCATTAACCCAACAAACAGTTTTTATGTGTCGGTCGTGCATGCGGCCACCGGAGGAACGAGTGAAGGCTTTTGCGCGATTGACCGCTTCAGAGGATGATTAGCCGGCGTTCATCTGTTCGACCTGGTCACACCGGAAATATATTTCAATGTTCGTTTGTATTCAGACGCCAGCAATGCATGGACCGCAGGGTCACGTGGCGTTTCAATAAAACTGCACCTCGACGCACGAAGGCAAGCGGTTGGTTTGGATGACGGGATCACGTCGTACAGAACAAAAGAACTGCGATGATCGCGCTGCAGCGCATTATTTCTACCAACTGATTTTTTGAGCGCCAGGAGAAAAGAATAGTCAAGCAGACACCTGATCGATACACTACATTGTTGTAAGCTGATTGCGCGCTCCTTTGTTACGTCGCTCAAATCAATGGTCGTAGCAATTTAACAAGGCAATGCCTAGAGTGTAGCTAGTCTAGGCTTATCGATAACTTTGATACATGCCAGCCAACAACTGGTCAGTTGATCTTGTTTCTCCCTCGACTACAACTTGCCAAAACAAAACTGACAGTTGCTGAAGATCGATACAGTATCAGGTCAAGATCTCGTGCTAAAGATCTGACGCTCAAGACTTAGCGACTCAACTGATTTGACTATCGTGCATCTGTGGTGACTCTGCATCTGCTGCGAGCTTCACGTTGCTTACCATCGATGCATGTACTTGTGAGTCCCGTTCTCGTTGCAATCGCCTCGAGTACCATCTCAAGTTTCAATCAAGTCTTGGCATCCCTGTGAAGTCAGACGTCATTTCGACAAACAGTTACGACGCCATCGCGCTACTATAGACGAACAGACGCTTGCGAATCGACACGGGTCCAAGGCAGCAAGACGGAGCGCAAAAACCGTAGATTGATCGTGCAAAAACACTGTCTGGGCAACGAGGGTCTACATGTACTGGAGCTCATGGTCCTACTTATCCCGTGTGTGTCTGTGACCTACAACATCACTTCCACGTGAAAAAAATGATATTCAAGAGGCGCTCCACCCATCTCAAGGGTCGCTTTCTTATATCGCTAGTCGCGCCATTTCGATCCCACTAGTCAGGCGTCCCATGATACCCCTCTTTACGCCTTTTCGACAAAACGGCCTGGCAAAGCAGCCATGTGCACTCACTTGCTAGCTTCCATCGATTGTTCCGCCTCCGTTCCTTTCGTGAGTAATCTCGTTCGACACTCAAGTTTTCGACACCCGTCTTCCTATACAAAACGCTCCACAGAACGGTCTCGTGAGTCAATGAGTCCACACGCGCCCTATTCAACCCACTGTCCCCACCAATGAAACGTTGCGAACCGGCAGCAACAACATTCACTGATCCGATCACGCTTCATTCTGCAATTTGCAGCCTCAAGCACAAGCGCCACCGCTGGACGTTAGCGTACGAGCTCGAGTCTCGACTTTTACCATGTCCATCCCCAGTCGTTTCGGAGCTCGAATCTCCCCCACAAAAGCTATAGCCCTCGCCCTGCTTTCCCTGCTCCTCCTCCTTCCCACTGCCACTTGCAGCAGCTGTCATTGCAAACGGACCATGAAAGGTCGCGAGCATTTGCATCCCTCGGTCCGTGCACTTCCAACTTTGTCGCTCGTAGAGATGCACGAACTCCAGCAGCTGTCAACACACTTGGACTGGTGCGAACGCGGCTTTTGCGTTCCAAGTTGGAACCAGCACGTGCCGCAGTATTGCGGGTCGTGTTATGCCCACGGTGCCATGTCAAGCGCCCAGGACCGGATCAAGCTCCTCAATGCACGTCGGAAATACACGGGCGCTGACGTCATGCTCGGTCGTCAGAGCTTCCTCAATTGTGCACCGGGTCACGGCCTTTCTTTTGGCTGTGATGGGGGTGAAGCCCAAGACGTGTACGAGTTCATGCGCCGCTATGGCTTGCCAGACGAGTCGTGCTTGCCCTACAATGCAACGGACCACACGAAATTCACGACGACCGGTAATAGCACGTGTCCACCTATTGGTTACTGCATGAAGTACGTGACTATGTGAAGCTGTGAACCAGGTTGACTTTTTGTCATTTAGTTGGTCGGTTGGTTGGTTGGTCGTTAATGTCATTAGGTGTTGATGTTGATGTGGCTGTTGATGTGTAGCTGCATGTATACTCCAACGAGTACCAAGACACCCCATTGTTTTCCCGTGACCAAGGTGGTGCGGTACCGTGCTAAGAGCTACGGGCACTTGTCAGGGGAGCTTGCTATGATGAAGGAGCTCATGACGGGGGGTCCCATTACGTGCGGCATTGCTTGCAGTCGAGAGTTCACTTACGAGTACAAGGCTGGGATTCTCGAGGACAAGACAGGATTCATGGACATTGACCACGACGTGGAAGTTGTTGGCTGGGGGGAAGAAAATGGCACCAAGTACTGGCACGTTCGCAACTCGTGGGGAACGTATTGGGGCATGAATGGCTTCTTTAAGATTGTGCGTGGCAAGAACAATCTAGGTATCGAGGCCGACTGTGCTTTCATTGAACCGGATATTAGCGATGAAGAGCTCGTGTGGGAGGAAACACCCATCTACGGAGGCTCGATTTTCGGTATCGTCCCGTTCAAAGAAGATGCAAGGGACCATGTAATCAAGGACACGACCGAGGACATCCCACATGTCGATGATCAAGTGCTAAAAGCTCATTATCTACCTGATGACGTAGGACCACTTACAAGTGAGCCCAAGGGACATGAAGGCACCACGTCGCTCATTGCGCCTGCAATCATGCTCTTTACGTCCGGTTGTGTCTGCGCAACACTCGCTGCGGTGTTCATCACGAAGTTTCGTGGTCACCGTGACGTGTACCGAGCGATCCCGTAGAGTGCAGCAGTTAACTACAACGTTGAAGTTAAGATCTTCGTCAAACATTGGCGATGACGCGGATGGCGTTTGCTACTGCCAACATCACTCGACTCTCGAACGCATCGCCCATGGATTATGACTAGGTAGAGAATGTCATTCTTATCTGGAGGTCATGACCGTTAAACGTATTACTATGAGTGAAGGGCGAGATGTATCCCACTTACAATCCTTAGTTTGCTGAAATAGCCATCGCAATGATTGCAGCAATGCTTACAGAAACGAGACCTGATCCCAACAAGACAACTGTCTGCGCCAGTAACAATTACACACTACCATCGTTGCTCTGCGGACACTTCAGCGAATGGTCGGTAATGATAGACAGTGCTTTTTGATGCTTCACTAAATTCGGCACAGAGATCTGAAGAGTAAGACGAAGTAACAAAGCTTGCGCAGTGCCAGTGCAAGACACCCGCAATCCAGGTGATGTAGCATTCGATAGGTACTGATGCACCACTGGTAGCATCAAGCTAGCCACTGCAGCTCTCATGTGTAAGAAGGTGGACGAATAAATAGATTGTGTCTTTAGTGGTGATCATTCCTAGCGTTTACATAGAAGTTGTCAGATCTATCGACCTCCTGTGTGTTGCTGAATGCTGGAAGTCGCTGCACATTGTTTCGGAGCAAGACGATGGACGATGTGATTCGAAATGGGTTAGGCCTGTACGCGACATGGAAGTCTATCCACGTTTCCGCCGATCATCTGGATCAGCACGTCGCTATCCACTGCAACTAAAGCCTAAATTAGAGCATATCTGTAAATGCGCGATGCGCTACGATGACGGTCGATTTAAAGCTTTTACTTCCCGTCTACACTGTATAGTCATTCTTGACAGGGCTCTGCGATCTGCAAGCTTCACTCGTACATCGACAGGTGCTGCCACAACAGCCCAAACAAGACGGCTCCAAATTCTGATAGGTGCTGACATATCTAGTATCTCCGTCATGGTGTTCAGGTCGATTGGTTTTCTTGTCAACAGTCTTTCAATGACACTCCTGCAGCTGTCATAGCAAGCGACCAAGTCACTTGAGGTGGTTCCTTATGCCACCTTCGCCTTAAACAAGTAATCACATGTAGCGCCTATGACGCAGTTGGCATGTCGAGAGTACACATGGAATGAATGAGGTAACTGCTTTGCGATCGCTATCAATGTAGTGTACTGGCCACAGATGTCACTCACTAAGATTGCTGCTCATCGAACGCAGTTTCCCGTTCATGTCTTGTACGTATTCCTTCTTCCTACCGTCTCCCTACTAATCGACAGCAGATGACCTCCAACTACATACGACCGTTCACCCCCCCCCTCAATCTTTTCTCCTGTCAAATAAGGCTCCATCACTGTGCTTACAACGAGTTCCCGCGGCAACGACCGGGCCAAAAAGTGGACGCAAGTTCCAGACAAAATGGTCTCGGCAGGTGTCAAAGGCGTAGTTTTTGCAGAGACGCCTAATGTAAACGCTGGGTACGATTGCTCTTTTGTATGTTCACCACCACTTACCTATATCCTGCCTTCCTGCAGAGCGCAAAGGCTTGTAGCTAATCTTGTAGCTTAAACATCCGCCCGTTGGTCGCACTTCACATCCTTACTTTTCAGGACAACATAAACGCTACTCCATATCCCTACTTTTCGTCCATCTCTCGTCAAGAACCATCACCACCTTACTTCTCAACTTGCTCACTCACTCACTCACTCTCTCCCTCTCACTCTCGATTCCTCCATCTAAAGTATACTATGGACAAGTACCAACGCGTTGAAAAGCCTCGTCGTGACGAGCACCCGACGCAGGTGGAGCCCAACGAGATCCGCATCACGCAGCAAGGCAAAGTGCGGAGCTACATCTCGTACGGCCACGGTCTATTTACTGTGAGTGTGTAGCGTACTCTGTTCTAATTGGTAGTTCTCAAAAAGTCTGATGTTGTGATTGGTCAAAATCGGATTTCTGCCTGATTTTGTACGTAATTACTAATTTAAACTGGTCTTATTTGTGTTTCGGATCATTTTGACAGGAGAAGAATGAACGCTGTATCGTGCTGAAAGCCATGGGCAATGCCATTAGTAAAGCAGTGACAGTGGCCGAGATTTTAAAGCACCGCGTGGCTCATCTCCACATGGTGACGCGCATTTCGTCGATTGAGACCGTTGATGTGTACGAGCCACTGGAAGAGGGACTCGATCGCATCGAGACGAAGCGCAAGATCCCGAGTATCTCCATTCAATTGTCACTGGACGAGCTGGACCGAGACGATCCAGGGTACCAGAGTCCAATTCCCGCTGACCAAGTGTCGGCCGGCTCGCCGTCGTACTCAAACTCTCGTGAGTACAGAAAGGCACGTGGACAGAGTCGACGATCGGGCCGCACTAGTGGACGTGGTGGTGGCAATGCTGAACCGGATGCTGCAGTTGAGACGGTGGAGACTCAAGAGACAGGGGAGCAGGAAGCACGTGGAGATGAGGAAGCTGCGAGTGGTGCGTCAACGACGCGTGGCAAGCGAGGTAAAGGACGGGGATGGGGACGAAGTGGTAGCAATGGAGGACGTGGCCGGAAGTCTGGGGAGCCAAGTCCGACCGACGAGGGAGATAGCAATGTTGAAGCTAGCAGTGCAGTAGAGAATGAAGTAATTGCTTCAACGACGACCAGTCGGAAGCCTGGACGTGGCAGAAAAGGGAGGAAAGCGTTGACTAACGGGGAACGAGGAAAACAGGATAATGATGGGGAAGGAGGAGGTGAAACTGCTGAGAACGCGCAAGGTAATCACCGGAGCGGTAGAGGACGGCATTCCGGTCGTGGACGTGGTCGTGGTCGCGGACGGGGCCGTGGATTCGGCGAAAGCCTTCAATGCGATGGGGAGGATGAAGCGCCGGCTACTGCGGACTTGAATGCTGTATCGGACAATACTACCGGACAGTGAGCGCGAAGTCCGTTTTCGTCCGGTTTACCTGAAAGGGCTTTGATGTCGTTGGGTATCATCGTGACGAGTCAGAGCGTGAACCTCGGCTCTTTGAACTCTATGGGTCGTATGTGTGAGCAGCAGGCGACGATTCAAACGCAGATAAACAAATAAAAATAACGGCGAACGACTCACCGTTAGCGTCGACCAGCTCGCGCAAACCTTCAATCTGATGAGGGATATACTCGGGTTGCATGTTCGTTTATGCGTCAAAGCGTGAGTCAACAGCTCATGTAAATACATGAGGTGCTTCACGACTTCCATTATGATTGGCTCAGTGTACATGGACCGTATTATGCATGCCCTATTATAAACGTTGTTCATGCTGCATTTGTATCGCGTACGGGATGAGCAACCACACCAGACCGAGCTATCGGGCTTCAACACTTCGCTTGCAGTACATGCATCTCATCGGAACAAAAGACCACTTCGGACGGGGGAACCAACAAGAACTACTAAGTATCGTATTTTGAGCCACACTCACAGCGTGTGCATTTTCACGGCTGTTGTCCGCCTGCCAAGAAACTGCAGCACATGGAATATGCGGCCAGAGGTACCCCACCGCTGCAGCAAATATGGCCTTCCATTACATGATCTTCGACACCCAATCCTGTTCTACTGGCGCTGTTGTCGAGAACCTCGACCACCACCACCACCACCACCAGCACCACCACCGCGACGGGGACGGAATCCACCGCGTCCACTCGGATTATCACCACGACGACCACCGCCTGCACTAAAACCAATACGGCCACCGCCACGACGACCGTCGCCACCGCTACGGCGGTTGCCCCACTCTTCCTTGCCCGTTCCCGAGCGCAGGTCCATCATGCGCTCATTGTTCTCCATAATCTGCGACAGCTTGTCCGAGTACTGTACTGCAAGCGTCTGCAACGTAGACCGCTCGGTCTTGTACAGGACGATGGCCTGCGAGGCCTGGTCCCAGGCGCCCTGGAGTTCCTCGTTGATCATCATCTTGGACACGACACTGTGCACGGTCTTGTCATCCAGTTCAAACATCTCCATCAGCCGAGCAAGGCTCACTGAATCGTACTCGTCACCGAATGCCAAGAGGTACGTCCGCAGCGCCTCAACCTGAATCTTATGCTGAACCATGGACTTGACACGCTGGTTCACGTTGGCACCCGGGAATAAGTCCCACACAGGAAGACTCACGAGGAGGTCGGCACTCTTACGCCACGATCCCTGAGCGAGCAGTTTGGCAGCAGCAACAACATGGTCGCGGGGATTTTCAGGGGGACCCTCGAAAATAAGGCGTTCGTGGAACTCAAGGAGTTTGCGGAAGGCCTTCGACACCATGCGCTTGCGGTCGGACAGACGCGCATTAACCATGTTCGGCACCTCCAGTAGCATCGCACTCACAAGGTGGCACGTCTCAAGCAAGTCAAGGTTAATGTGCATATGATATGGCACCTGACGACGACGCTCCAGACGCTCCTGCTCTAGATCACGCTCACCATAGCGGAAGGACTGCAGGCCTTGAGCAAGCAGCTCTTTTGTTCGTGAGCCTGTACAGATCTCCGACAAACAAGCATGAGCTTCCCAAATCAGACCACAGCGAAAAGCACATAGACCGAGCTGGGCCATCATACGGTTGAACAGAATCTGGGTAGGAATATCAGCATCCGAGATGTTGTCTTGAATGTGCGACATCAGTAGCAGGTCTCGAGCCTCATGGAAGCGGTCATGCAGAGCGTGGTGGTAGATGCGGCACAGCATCGCACGGGTCTTGGCACGGATATCACCGTGCTGGAATACGAAGCGACACACTTCACGTAGCAGCTTCTCGGCATCCACCGCGGTCACAGACACTGTAGGTTGGCCCATAGCAGATGCTGGGTGCACTTTCGATACATCAAGCTCCTTCGTCTTGCTGGCATGAGTGCTTGTGCAAGCAGGGTGGAGGAACACGGGGTCACCAAATTTGGCACGTTTCGCCTGGGCCTCGTACAGGGCCGCAGCGATGGAGTCGTGCTTGTAGTAGATGAGTTCGGCACGCACGAGAGCCATAGTGGCAGCACGCTCGAAATCCTTCTTGCGGGCGTAAAATGTCTGCACGCGCTCAGCCACCTCGATCAGCATGTTCTCGTCGTACAGACGAGCAACGTACTCGCTCGCGTGCGGATCGGTCTGCTGTAGACTCTTCGTGTACTCCTCTGAAAGACGATCAACAAATGCAGCAAGGTCACCAGAGACTTTGATCGTGCCCTTCGCGCCGGCCTGTGGCAGCGTATCTACAAACTTCATGTCCTCCTCAGCATCCTCAGCCGCAGCCGCGGCAATCTGGGCAGCAGTGACCTTCTCGCGACCGGCACGCACGATGTCAGCTTGGTCTTCTGATGTCAAAGGGGCAAGCGAGAAGTCTGTGTTCTTTTCGAGAAGAGAGAGGATGGTGCAGATGTTGGTTTGCACTTGCTTCCAATGACGCCCCGACATGACGCGGTCAATCTTGGACGAGGTGTCAAAGACAGATGTACCTACCAAGTACATGGTGGCCACGATCTGGCGGGCAGGACCAAGTCGACCAGCATAGTTGGCCAGCTTCCGCATCTGGTTGAGCTGCTCCGAAATGTCAATGCCTTTCTTGCCACGCATAGCAACCACCTCTTTCACACGACGGTCAAATTGGCTAGGCGTGAGCTTGAGTTCCTCTTCAACAACCGTCTTTTGAACATCGTCCTCCGACTCCCGACGAGTCTCCCGCTGCTTGACCACTTTGGGACCCTTCACCTTCTTGGCCTTCGTCATCACCGGCGTCTGCTTTAGCCATCGAGCACGACCTTTAGGCATATTATCATCGTCTTCAGAAGACGACGACGAGGCCGACGATTTGCTCGGCCACGAGCCATCCGAGCTGTCAGAATCGTCGTCCGCGTCCGACTTGTCGTCGTCACTACTGTCGTCGTCCGAGCCAGACTCGTTGCTACTGTCATCAGAATCCGCCGATGAGGCCACCGACGACGACGCTTTGGATCCAGACTTTTCACTCGATGAGCTCTCCGACTCACTCTCGGACTCGCTTTCGGACTCACTCTCACTTGAGTCCACTGGATTAGCACGGAACGCGTCAACCTGTTTCCGGATCGGCTCAAGAGCCTTCTTGAGCTTGCCCTTCATGCGAATCAGTGCCTTGCTGTTTTCCTTGTTCATCTTCTTTTGCTCGGTCTTGTTCTTGACTTTCTCAGCTAGAAAGTCTTCCAGCGCCACCATCGTCGAGAGGTAGAACGTCGGCAACGCCGTCATGGTCTTCTTCGCTCGCTCCAGCTGCTTCGTCAAGTCGTCGAACGCGCTCTGGATCTGCGTCCAGTCGTTGATTTTCATGTGGTTCTTAATGCCATTGCAACTGCGCTCCATGCTCTCGAGCGACTTGTCCTTGGCGCTCTTGACCACGCGCACTTCTTCGTCCGAGTCCGAGTCCGATTGAACGGCCCAGCGCGAAGCTGCACGCGCCGCCTGCTGCTGCGACGTCTCGACATCCGACACGTCCGAGACGTCGCTCTCTTCCTCGGACGACGAGCTGCCTGCCCAGAACCTGCTTGCCATGGCTGCTACTGCGCTACTTGATGATGCTGATGGTCTGGGTCTGGATCTCTTGTGTCTTGCTGAGAGCAACGAGCGTCAAGAGAGAAGAGGGAAGGGAGAGGGGACTTCGACCGCAAACGCGACACTTCTACGTAAGGATCTCCTCGCTGCTTGTTGACTGACTGGCTGACTGGCTGGTAGCCGACGAGAGGCTGGCGTAAAACCTCAAAACCTTAACATTGGATCGATGGAGCCATGTAGATAGATGCATTCGAAGCGTCGTGTGTTTGTATTTCTTTGTAGCCCTTAATTAATCTTTCGCGACGATTACGTCAAGACCATGCATGCGCTTCGGGTCCATAGCCCTTCGGCCACACAGTTTGGCTGCAATTATTGACATCATCGCATACAGGAACACACGAGAAGCAGGGAAGAAAGAAGAGACGCGCATGGACTTCGTACTTGTTCCAGCAGGCTGTAGAGCGCGCCCGAGAGATTCGCAAACCGCAGCGCCAATGACAATCCGCGGGTGTCCACGACGTAGTCGATCGACGGCACAAGGAGAATCCTCATTGGGAGCACAAAGCGAAACGGCTTTGTGAAGAGGTATCCATGGTCGTGGTCGGTCGCTCGAGTTTTCCAGCGGCTTGTTGGCCGTGCCCATGTAACCAGTTGCACGCAACACCTGCACCGACCACGATGAACACAAACTCGACCGACTTCAGCTGCTTGGTCAGCGTGGTATCCACGAACCTGAATGCTGCGTCGTCGCCATTGCGGCCAGTTGTTGTCGCTGTGAATTGTCCGATTCGCTCTACCTCGACACTTCCATACGCGTCAATATGGACACGTCTGTTCACAAGAAGCTGCTGCTGCGCTACGTGCTGCGAAGTCCCCAGCTCGATTTCTTCACCAATGTCAACACTCCGTCTCCTTTCTGATTGCAGACCTATCCTCATAGAGCCCCAACAGGACGAGAAGCACCACAAAGACAATTGCAGCCACCACTGACATCATTGGAGAGAGCGTTTTCCTGGACCAGCCACAATGTTCGTATGCCGCGCACACGACAAGGAACATAGCGCTACCACCATCACTAGACAGCTGAGAGCTGCAAGTATGGCGGTCTGGTAGCGCATGGTGACAATGCTCGCTGGGAACGACGACATCATGGTGATGCGACCTCCAAACGTAAACATGATGTAAGCTGGTTCAAACATGTGAAACGTCCCTGAGTCGGAGTGGTCCAACAGTGACCAGCCTACGACTTCGATGGAAGGAGCCACATCGATGGACACACGAGGTCCTATGCGATCCAAAAGCAGACCAACGGGTAGTACACCAGTATTCAGTGCGACAGAAGCCGCTACAAACATGACAATTCGGGCAATGCTCTTGTTCCTTGCACATGAACTTGCTTGAGGTCGGGCCCAGTTCAGAATTCTGGTCTTCCTCCCGAGTCGAATGAGCAATGGCGCCTAGCCAAAGATGATACCTATGAGCAGGACATCCGATCCGCAAACTGCGACTTCGAGTGCAGCGCGACGAGGTGCAAATGGACGTGGTCGCGCAAGCTGGACAGAAGATACTGACGATGTCATATGCCGCTTCTTGCTAGCCAACGTGTTGTCCAAGTGGTGATCGAAGTAATGTGCTTCAACTGCTGATCCTCTGCAACCGTTTGATCATCAACGATAACCAAAGTATGGACACGAGTTGAAGTGCAAGGAAGCAGCCGTCGAATTTGGATCACGCTCCATTACTTCGATACCAAACTGCCACGGCCCGCGAGCAAAGTCCGGTGCACAAACGAAATCAGACGCCTGTTTAACGACACTCAAACGATCAAGGGCGCTTGAGGAGATATTCCACGGGTGGCACATATCTTGACCCACGCTTCTGGAAGCTAGTTTTTTCGGAAACCACTAACAAATTTTTAAGCGTATCTTAGTCACGACGAAGCCCAGACGACAACAACATCTTCTTCCGCGCATTACTTAAAACGATAACACGTCGCTCATGTACACTTTTGACGAAACGCGCGTCTGCAGCCACACGCATTAGTGACTAACGGACAAAGAGGTCGAGTAGGACCGGAACAGGTCGAACCGACGGAGATGGATAAGCAGCACTTGACTCCACGACTGATGGAGATGAATTCGCAGCGTCTGACTTCTCAGCCGATGGAGATGAATTCGCAGCGTTTGACTCCTCAGCCAATGGAGATGAATTCGCAGCGTTTGACTTCTTGAACCGCTTCGGCATTTGGTTTTTGGCCCCTTGTGCCAAAACCGCTGGGGTTCTTTTGGAAGGGAGAAGTCGATCAACAATTTTGGAGTTTACGCCTCCCTCCTTCACACCAAGCACGTTCGTCAAATTGTCGGGGTTTAAGACCACCTTATCCACTTCTTTAATCAGCAAATCAGCGTGAGGAACGCCAAACACCTTGGTCAGACAATCCAAGATTTCTTGTCGCTTTAACGGAATAGTTGTGCCGAGCGCCAAGGTGAACTTGAACAAAGAGACCACGTTTTGGTCTTTTAGGACATCCTCCTGCGACATTGGCTTCGGCAGTCTGACAGCAACTTGTTGCCAACCTTTAACCAGCAAATCATGCGTTGCCACAACATCTCCCGCGTGGATTTTCTTGAGTGCGACGGCATTCACCATCGACACAAACGATACAATGTCGCGCACATTGCCAAAATAATCCCATAACGTTCCTGCCAGCGTGAACGCTTTTTTGTGTTTCTCGTTGTACTTCTCGATACAATCCTCCAGATGTCCAAGGCTTATAAAATCAATACCGGCAACAGGGTTAGACCGTGGCCCAGTTGAGACTTTGCCAGTTTTTTTACTAACCCTGACGAGGGCAGCTTTGATCTTGACTTCAAGGATCACCATCTTGATAAGTTCGTCAGGACGCAGGTCGTGTTGTTGCATCTCCTGCTTGCGTTTCTTCTGAACCTCGTGCACCATCTCCCAATTAGCTCGAGCCGCTTGAACCCCAAGTGTGTCCCCATTTCTGCCCTTTTCTTTAAATTGTACGATAGCTTCCAATTGCTTGATCTTCTCATCATTTGGCCCAGGCTGCATACTGAGTTTAAGCTCCACAGCTTGCTGGTCGATCTGTTGCAAGCCCTCCCTGACGCCAGGAGGGTCGTGTTGGTGCAGATTTTTTACCATAATGCTAACCTGATATCTGACCGCTGGGTCGAGCTTTATGTCCAGCATCCTCGCCTCACCCCTAGCGCCTTCGTCTGCACCCACCAGCAGCTTGCCCCGGACATCACCAAGGCTGCCGTTATAGGGGCGAACACGAGCCGGGAGGCTGATGCTGTCCGTCTCGGAGTCGGATGTCATCAAAGAGTGTGTTGTGTGCACGAGTGTCACCGCAAAAGCCACGACGGCAAGGGACTGATGGCGCATCTTCAGTCAGTGCTACTTTCGAGACGAGCGAGGGGAGAGGGGGATTTTGAAGTGAACGAGGACCATCAGTTGGAATCAGGGCTGACACCGAGAGGTTTTTCTTGCAATCTGGTTCTACTGGGGTTTTTTATAACCCGATAGTCTGCGATCTTCCAAAATTAGGTTTATCAGGTTAGATTCCCCGATGGTCGTACATCTCACGCACGATCTGGCCGACCGCCGATCCCTGCAACTACAAGGAAGCATACCGACATGATCTATCGTCAATTATAATAGCATGATTAGCATGCTCGAGCCGCACTAACTACTATGTCGCAATCGTTGTTTCCCTTAAGCCAGTTTGACGAGCGTGTCGATAACTTCAACGACGACATTATCGACCTTTAGCAGCGAGACGCGTTGGTCGCCATGTTAGACTTCAGAATAGTCGCTAATTGTAAAGGGGCACCCTGAAGCTTGTACTGTCACCAGTACAAGCTACTTATTCTGATGACAGAATAAGGCGGTGCCTCGTAACTTCACGTACACTCGTACGTGCAGAGGAAGACGGTAAGAAGAAGCGAGTACTTGGTTAAAGTAAAAAGTAGAACTGTATTTATCATAGTTAATGTCTGCAATAAATCACTATTTATCTTCATCTAACTATGTCTGAATACAAATGTGTAAATCAGTTATCTTGTAGCGGAGCTACACAGCTCCTTAAGTCAGAGGAAGACTTAACGCTCTACGAGCAACTTAGTTCCAAAGAACTAACGACTTTACGAGTCAGCAAGCTTTACAGCTTCAGATCCCTGTTCCAGGGGACCTAACGATTCAGTGAATCGACAGCACTTAGTGCTCAAGAGTAGCTACCTCAAGGAGGTGTTGCTAACTCTTAGTGATCAGAGATTAACGATCAAGACGGCTCGCAAGCCACGCGTCTTTCAGATCAAAATGGGAACTGATTTTATTTAATGTTAAAGCCTATAGAATATCTTAATCCTACTCAAAGATCTTTCGTATCTAATGGCTGACACTTGTCAGCCCCTACAAACCGATAAGATATTCTATATCACCTTCACAGAAGCGAACCCTCAGGTGTGTAACACCTCTGGTACAAAGTACCATGATTTCGTGCAACCCCGTTACACCCTCCCCCCACCAGACTGACGTTTACCCAAAACGTCAATCGAACTCGTATTCTCAGCGAGAACAGTGCGCGTACGGTGAACCTCACGGTAACGTACGCTCTAGCACGATGTCCTCATCACCAAACGAGTCAAAGGCTCTGTGTGACTACCTCGGAATAGAGGAAGAGGTGGACTATGGTAGCGATACCAGTGTCCGCGGTGACACAGGGACAACGTCCGGCTCACTGATGCCTGAGGCACAACTTTCGAACACCCCAAATCCGTTCGCTGAACGTGGAGGTGCGAGCGCGCCGCCAGCGCAGCGTGCAGCATCTGGGTTTGATGAGACTATCATCGCGAACCCGCTCGATGAGCAACAACAACTGCTTGTTCAAAGAGAACAAAACGCTCAGCGTTATGCACAGATGACTGCAACCCTTGAACGCCAGCGTGATTATGTGTTCACCCCCACCCAGTGTGGAGGAACGTCTGCGTCAAGCGGCCGGCCAAACATTGGCAACGTGGGTCATTGGCCATGGGCCTAAGACTCCTGAGGAGGTGGTGAGCTGCCAGGCACTTCGTGAGAGGTACCTGGAGCCGCACCTAACGACTCAAAGTCAATACAAGGCACGCCTTGACATGCAAGCACGTGGTGCACCAGTTCCACCGATGAAGGGTATACCCATTCTCCTGCTCGCAGGCGAAACAGCGAGTGAAGAAGACGATGCCTTTGTTCACTGGGTGCACTATGTGCGTCGCCTCAGCAACATTTTTGCTCTAAGGGCTAGTGCCCATGCGGCGGATGTGCGTCTCGAACGCAAGCTTCGGTATGATTATGCCAAGCTTAAGGCCAGAGGCCAATTGCGCAAGCGCACGCGCTATGCTTCGGCTACTAAGGTAGCCGCGAGTGCTGGTCAGTCTGTGACCAACAACCCGCCAACCCGCACCACTAGTGGTGGTGAACGGCCTCGGCCTCGCGATGACCATGGCCACGATGCTCAAAAGCCTCCAAAGCATATGGGCAGTCTTGCCGAAGGGGTACCTCAAATTCCCATGAGTTTTCAGACTCAGGGTACCCACGCCACTTTACCAGATACTGATATTGGCCCTGACGACGACGTCGTTTCAGTAGTCTCTCGACATGGAATTGACGACACCCATGCTCATCGAGCAACGTCGGTGGCGGCCGGTGTACCGGTGGAGGCCCACGAGAAATTGGTTCTCGAAGTGAGGGGTCTTCAAGCGGCCTTGGGTAAGTCCCAGTGCATGCTGGATGCGATGCAAAACCGCCTTCAGGCGATGGAGCAAGCTCAAACTCGGAGCGAGGCTCAGTTGGACTTGCTGATTCGTCTACAGCAATCCGGGGCGGTGCCCTTGTCGTCGGCGCAAGCGCCTCCAAGTTCACATGGGAAGGATCCCGGTACGGCTTAAGTAAGCCTACGTAGAACACTGGATGTGTGCGCAATTTGCGTGGGAGGTTTAGCGTATACGCAAGTCCCCTTTTGGCCGTGACCGTGAACGGTCCAATAAAGCGTGGACGCAACTTTGTCTTAAAGACAGCAGACACTACATTTGTAGGTAGATTTTTAGCATTGAGTAGTACTTGGTCTCCGACCTCATAACGTTCAATACAATTTCTGCTTTTGGCATCAGCTTGTTGTTTTTGGGTATCTTGGCTATCAGCCATTGCGTCACGCACATGTCTTAGGACATTTAATCGCGTTGCGAGAAACTCGCTTACCTGTTTTTGAACAGTAGCAGGGCTGATATCAGCAAGCCGATCGGCAACCTCTCCCCCACCAAGCCCTGATTCACGTAGTGATAGCGTTAACGGAACGCGAGGGTGAGTGAGACCGTTTATATAGAACGGAGTAAAGCCTGTTGAGGCATGAACAGCGTTATTCAATGCAAACTCAACAACAGGGAGCATTGAGCTCCAACGCCTAGGCGTATCAGCGCAAATACTGCGCAAAATGTCGTTGATGACGCGGTTTACACGCTCAGTTTGACCGTCGGTCTGCGGATGATCCGCTGTGGACATGTCCAATCGAGTGCCAAGCACCTTGAAGATAGACTTCCAAAACTTCCCAGTGAAGCGGGGGTCTCTATCAGAGATAATTGCCACAGGCAAGCCATGTTGGCGAAACACACGGTCGATAAACAGCTTTGCTGTACCTTCCGCATCGATGCTATCCGGCACAGCCGCTAAGTGAGCCATCTTGCTCAATCGGTCAACAAAGACCACAATACCAGTGTTGCCTTCCGAATCTTTCGGTAGGCCAAACACAAAATCCATGCTCATGGACTCCCAACAACCACTGGGTACTGGCAAACTAGCCAGCGGCGCCGCCGCATGTGCCGAGGGTTTTACCCGTTGACACGTTTCGCACGTACGCACATAGGTGCGCACCCACTTATAAAGTTTGGGCCACCAATAACTTTGGCTCACCGAGCTATAAGTCTTCTCACGACCGAGATGACCACTTAAAGCAGTATCATGTGCCTCATAGAGGATCCGATACTTTAATTCCTCATTATGAGGTACTACGATACGAGGGTTGTCCTCAATATCCGTGCGATAGCACAATAGGCCATTATCGATGGAATATCGATGTAGCCTCGCACGTAAACGTGCCGACAATTCTATGTCCGAGTCTTTAAACTCATTGCTCCCAAGAGCACGTAGCAAAGCTACACACTGATCGTCCTTGGCATATGCCGCACGAATTAAGTCAGGGACTGACGACGACAGGGTCGTAACATGAGCAAGCTCATAGTCAGGTCGACGCGATAGCGCATCAGCCAAAGCGTTTTGCTTACCTGGCTTGTACTTCACCTCGAAGTTATATTCGGCAAAGAAAGATAGCCAACGAGCCATTCTCTGTGAGAGATGAGGCGACTGTGTCGCAGTGCGCAATGACGCATGATCGGTATAGATCACAAATGGCTTCGAGCCAAGCAGATGGACTCTGAATTTGACAAGAGCGTACTTCATAGCAAGTAGCTCTTTGTCATGAACAGGATAGTTCTTTTCAGCAGCTTTCAGCTGTCGAGATTCAAATGCGATGACGCGTTCGCGTCCGTCGACATCTGTTTGTAACAGAGCACTGCCTATGGCAAAGTCAGATGCGTCACAGACGACACTGAAAGGCCGACCAGAATCGGGCAAAGCCAAAATTGGCGCATGGAGGAGACTCTCCTTAACTGCTTCAAAAGCATTATGTTCGGTGTTACCCCAACACCAACCCACATCCTTTTTAAGGAGATTGGACAATGGCCGAGCCATATCTGCGTAATTTGCACTATACTTATGTAAGTAATTGGCAAGGCCAAGCCATTTACGCAAGTCCTTTTGGTTCTTGGGGACTGGCCAATCGACTATGGCTTTTACCTTAGCGGGATCCGCTCGAAGGCCTCGCTTCCCAATGAAGCACCCTAGAAAGGGAATCTCTTCTGCACCAAAGATGCACTTCGATGCGTTCGCATACAGCTTATTCGTTCGCATGCACTCGAGCACAGCTCGTAAATGATCAATGTGGTTATCCACATCTGATCGCCCATTCATTGCACGACTATGGACAAAAATGTCATCAAAGTACGTTTGTGCATAGCCTCGATGAGGTCTGAATAGTTGCGTTACCAACCGGTTAAACGTAGCCGGGGCGTTAGATAGCCCTTGCGGCATAACGAGCCACTCCCAAAGCATACCGCTCGGAGTACTCACCGCTGTTAGCGGAATATCGCTTGCTCGCATGAGCAGTTGGTAATAACCATCGACTAAGTCGAGTGCACTGTACAGTGTACATCCCGCCATATTGTTCTGAAGAACATCCTTTCGAGGAATAGGCGTCTGCGCCGGTATAGTGGCTGCATTAAGCTTATTGTAAGCATGCACAATACGCCACTTGCCATTTGGCTTTTTGACACAAAATGTCGGTGTTGAGTGGGGAGACTTGCTCTCACGAACCATCCCAGCCGCGTGCTTAGCACGAAAGAAATCGTCAATGACGTCGCACTGTTCTTTAGGCAAAGGCCACTGCCGTGTTACACAGTATTTAGTTCCAGGAACCAAGTCAATCTCATGACGTACACCTCTATCGGGAGGTAAGGCAGAAGGTGGGTTGTGACACACCACATCTTGAAATTCCTTGACTAAAGGATAGAACGGATCCGACGGATCTTTAAGGATCGAAGATCCACTTCGTGCACTAAGTGCCGCCTTTGTATCCTCTAGGACAGACTCATCCATTAACGAGGAAGAGTTCAACTCAGTATTAGGTCTAATGACCGCTAACTCGGATAACTCTCCTGCCTTCAAGGCCTGGCTAAACTCGCCATCAGACATTTCGTCTAGCTCACAAAGAGCGTCCACGGATGGAAGGGTTTCAAGGCAAACACTGCCATCAACCCGACCAGTCACTCCATTAACAAGTGTATACAGTGTATTGATAATCTCACTATGTGACTGTGAGGACGCCTGGCGCTTTACAGCTGCTACTCGGCGTCTCGATTGTCTCTTCGAGACCTTACTCCCCTTAGGGGTCGGGACAATATTGTCCCCATGGTTACTACCAACCATAGTATGCTCTATACGAGAGCTTTTGTCTTGACCGACATTAGGTGTGGTGCCCTCACGGCCGCCCACACCATATGGCGAATCGCCAACAACGCCATTACCGGCGTTAAGCGTGGTGCCCTCACGGCCGTCCACACTATACGGCGTATCGCCAACAATGTCATTACTGTCATTAGATGTGGTGCCCTCACGGCCGCCCACACTATACGGCGTATCGCCAACAATGTCATTACTGACATTAGGTGTGGTGCCCTCACGGCCGCCCACACTATACAGCGTATCGCCAACAATGTCATTACCGACATTCAGTGCGGTGCTCTCACGGCCGACCGCACTCGGTGTAGTTTCACGTGCCACCATACACACATCAAAGGAATCACGTCCTTGATCACTCGGCCCTAGGCCAACCATGCTTTCAGCATGCAGTGACTCGTTATCACAACGAGTACCACTCAACGGAGTACGTGCCGTTTCACTAGTTTTAGACGAGCTAGGCTCGAAACTTATGTTTGTAACATGGGAGTTAGATAACTCGGACATTCCAATATCCAGCACATTGACATCTTCTGTCAAAGGCTCGCGCCAATAGCGCTTTTGCTGCCTAGCAAAGGTGGGTTCATGACTCTCCAAAGCTTCGCTAGGAACATTGCGCGTAGCGCCTAAGGTCTTAGACCTCCAATCAATCCATGGCTCATGGCGCTCAAGCCAAGCCATACCTAGGATGAGATCATATCTCGAGTCCAAATCTAGGACAAGACAGCGCTCAATACTGTCAAAGTCTAAAAACGTTATACCTAAGTTCAATGGAACTTTAGGCACCGTTACGCGACTTCCAGTCGCTAAACGAACCGTGATAGAATCACCTTCATGCGCTGTAAGCGCCTCAGCATAACGCTGACTTCCCTCAAGGGAACGGCGTCGAGCATAATTGCAAGACGCCCCAGAATCGATCAATATCGACCAAGGCTTCTCGAAGCCCTCAATTTTCGCCTCGGCGACCACCAGACCAGACTTGTATCCACGCACCATACCCGTAGGTATGGTACTCTTTGGGGCTAAGCCCTGCATTCCTTTACCTTCTATAGGTGTAACAGAACATAGTTTTTCCCCAGTAGGGCGCCCCGCGCCTACTGGGTGTCGGCATTTCCCCGTGCCATGCCAGACTTCTGACTCGGGCTCGAGTGTTGGCTCGTAGTCTGGCGTTGCTTACGCAAAGGGCAACCAGGCCGCAAGTGTTTAGTGCTTCCGCACGTAAAGCATCGTCTTACAACGTGTTGCTGCTCAGCAGCTCGAAGCTCAGCTTCACCTCCATCTTCAGCATAGCTGAGATTCATCGGTTCCGGCCTATTATAGGCAGTGGTACCCGAATAGTTTGCTCTCACAGAGCGAGGATTGTATCCATTCCAACCAAGTCTGGCCGACTTGAAATTATGCTCAGCATTAAGAGCAATTCTCACAGCCTCTTCAAACGTAGAGGGGTGAACCCGAAAAACCTCGGTTCTGGCAATGCCAGTACGTAGACCTTCCATGAAGATAGTCACATGGACTGCTTCAGGCAGAGGGTCAGACTGCATTGCAGCCATGAGCGTTCGCAGCTCTTGGACATAGTCCGATAATTCATTCTTACCCTGGCGGGTAGAAAGAAAGCGTGAGCGCACGCGGTAAGCCTGGTTAGGTGGAGAAAACACCTGTACCAATTGTGATTTGAGCGACTCCCATGTGGGAAACGCTATGTCCACCGACGTGCTACACGTCAAGGCCCATTCTCTAGCTCTACCATCGAGCTTCGAGATAGCCAGCGAGACCTGTTGATGGTCAAGCGTGATCAGGCCTGATCTCATGGCCATCTCGATCTCACGGATCCAGAGGATGAGATTCTCACCCTCCTTGCCGGAGTAGTTTTTTACGTCCACTTTAAGTGGACGAGGCTTAGCCTCTTCGTCTGGTACAGACACGAAGCGTGTAGGCATAGCCGACGCTATTTGGTCTTGGACCTGCCCTAAAAGGGTCGCTTCATACTGCATGAAGCCGTCAACACGTGCATTAAGCACTTCAGGACCTTGTGAAACAAGAAACTCCACGTACTCTGGACCCAAAGATGCGGTCAGCTTGTCAAGCGCGACCTTTTGGGCCTCAGATAGGGGAGTGATGCTTTCCATCCTCACAGAGGATCAGTCTTAAAGACTCAGGCGTAGATTGACTACAAGTGCTACCAAGTGTAGCGGAGCTACACAGCTCCTTAAGTCAGAGGAAGACTTAACGCTCTACGAGCAACTTAGTTCCAAAGAACTAACGACTTTACGAGTCAGCAAGCTTTACAGCTTCAGATCCCTGTTCCAGGGGACCTAACGATTCAGTGAATCGACAGCACTTAGTGCTCAAGAGTAGCTACCTCAAGGAGGTGTTGCTAACTCTTAGTGATCAGAGATCAACGATCAAGACGGCTCGCAAGCCACGCGTCTTTCAGATCAAAATGGGAACTGATTTTATTTAATGTTAAAGCCTATAGAATATCTTAATCCTACTCAAAGATCTTTCGTATCTAATGGCTGACACTTGTCAGCCCCTACAAACCGATAAGATATTCTATATCACCTTCACAGAAGCGAACCCTCAGGTGTGTAACACCTCTGGTACAAAGTACCATGATTTCGTGCAACCCCGTTACATATCTGCTCACCACTCATTGCGTGCGTCTGTCGTGGCGCGTCTTCGTTGGTTGATATAATGGCCTATATCAACCAATTAGGAACTACTTGTAAGTGCTACAGAATATTTGTCCTTATGACAATATTCTGAGAATATAACTCTTATAGTTATATTCAATTAACTATTTCTTATAAATTGTTATGTAACGATTCACCCCGTTACCTCACCCCCCCCTTAACCATCAGTCACTTTAGTGACTGATTGACTAAATGGATACTCGTCCCAAATCATTTGGGACAGGGTTTGCACTTGTTGGTCCACGTCCACTTTCCAACATCTCATCGCATGGTTAACAAGCCCATGCGATGCGCGAGCAAGGCCGCCGAGTGCGCGTCTGCACGTCTCTGTGCGGACGCCGAAGCAGAAACAACAGCAACTGATGTCTCATCGGTTGCTGATGCGACCCAGCCTGTGTCACCTGGTGATGCAGGCGCTGGTCATGAAGACACTCGTGTCTTCACAGAGTACGAGCTCGGTGTTTCGTACTCTCCTGATACGGATGACGGATCCGTATCGACGGCGATTGAATCTAAGCCGCCTGCCAAGTGTGGCATGGACGATGCTTTGCGTCGCAGCATCTTTGGTTCATCTGATGAATCAGATGAACCATCGCCGAAGCGAAGGCGCTCGAGGTCGCGAGACTCGGGCGCTAATAGTGGTGTCGGTTCTCCTATGGACACCACTTCACAGCGAGGTGCCAGTACTTCTGTCGGCACGTCGCAGGAAGAGCGGGACCGCAATGTCTTGCGTCTCGCTCCTGAAAAGAAGGCATGGATGCCCCTAAATCAGTCATGGATCACTTGTCGGCGACGACGAGTGATCGTTATCGAACACGATTGTTCGATTCGTCAAGGATCCATCACCTTGACCCCAGCGCGAAAAACTATCGCACTGAACATGAATTCTTCATCGATGCTTTCTTTAGACATCGATGGTACAGTGGGAATCACAAACGTGATGGTCCCTCACTACTTCAGGCGTGGAACGCCTACATCCATAAGCTTAAGGATGTAGGTCGTGACGCTTGGAACGACAAACTTATCAAAGCTCGTGATAAGTCTGAAAAGCGAACCCCGACAGGTGCACGCTACAAGCTGCATCGTCTGTCAAGGGAGAAAGGATTACCCTGCCTCTCTTGGGGAGACTCATGCCCATGTTGTGTGAACAACTCTGCACGAGCACCTAAGGAGGCTTACCTCCTTACCAGCCCGTGGTGGCGCGTACGTGTCTCTACTGAGATGTACGAAGGGATTGACAACCTGAAATACCTTTACGACCGTGCCGGGAAGACTTTCTCCGGCGGTCCTTCTGCGGCACAGGATGTGCCGCGTCGTACTGCTCAACCAGACCCAGTACGTCGATCATCAGTTGGGAGCGGGGCTCCCAAGAATCCCAGGACGGGGGATAGCCGCGCCACCGGACGAGATAACTCGTCCGACGTCCGTTCACGTCGCGGTGGTTCAACAGCTGCTCAACTAGATAGCGCTGGCCACCGCGAGAGTTCTCTAATGGAGGAGGAGGAGGAAAGACGCTCTCCACACGATCATGTGGATCGGTGTGTTCCCGAGAGCTTCTTTGATCGCGTAACGCAAGGGTTACGCGACGATCTCGAACATGAGCGGAATAGGCGTCTCCAAATGGCGGACACTGCCTCGAAGCATCGAGCTGAGTTTGCCTTTGCTCAGCTTGAGAACGAGAGATCTCTTCGTGACGAGCTAAGGGTAGCTCGTGGGATTGCTGATCGGTCTCGGGATGAGATAGCTGCTCTTCAGACCCTTGTTGATGCCCACCATCGGGAGCACAAGGCTCTCTGCGAGATGCTTGAGCGCAAGGGCGTTCTTCATCGGAAGAAGCAGCGTACTGATGGTACGGCTTAAGCCGACCAACGTAAAACGTGGGATGCGTTCGCATCTTACGTGGCAAGTGGATCGTGTATGCATTGCCTAGGCGGTGCAATACACGAAATGGGCCAATGTACTTGGGTAGTAGTTTACTGCTACCCAAGTTAGTCACTACATGCTTTGGTAGATTAACCGTAGACAGTAGGACTAAGTCACCTTTATTAAATAAAAGAGTGTTTGCCCTTCCATTCTTGTCAGCGTTTTGCTTTTGCTTATCCACCGCTTCGGCGATGGAGTCTTGCACAAAACGGACTACCGTTTCACGAGCCAGTATGAACTCATCTGATGACTCGTTATCTTCAGTGTGCTGTGAGCGCACTGCAGCAACATCAACCTTTTCTTCAGTGAGGGCTTCCGCACTCTCACTGGGATCATCTTCTTCAGTGAGGGCTTCCGCACTCTCACTGTCATCATCTTCTTCGATATCGATGTTATCGATATCGGCATCAAATGAAATGACTTCTTCGTCAGAGCGTGATGGCGTGAACCAATTCGGTTTTTGCTCGCGCGAGTCCCCCCCCCCCTTAAACCAGAGTTACACTCTAGTAAGGTGGGTACACGCGGATGGAGCAAGCCATTCACGTAAAACGGTGTATGTGTCGTGGACGCATGGGCCGAGTTGTTAATGGCAAACTCTACCATTGGCAAAAACTCACTCCAACTCTTAAAGGAGTGTACGTATCCTCGAAGTATCTCTTCAAGGACACGATTGGCATGTTCCGTCTGACCATCTGACTCTGGATGATCAGATGTTGACATCTTCAAGCGCGTTCCGAGTGATTTGAACACGGAACACCAGAAATCAGCAGTGAATCGTGGATCTCTGTCTGATACGAGTTCACGGGGCAAACCATGAAGTCGGAAGATGGTGTCAATAAAGACACAAGCACAGCCACTTGCCGTGATTGTCTCTGGTACAGCCACAAGGTGTAACATTTTGCTGAATCTGTCAACAAATACGAGAATACTCGTATTCCCGCGTGCGTCTTTGGGTAACCCGAAGACGAAATCCATTGAGATGGATTCCCAGCACTCAGCCGGAACCGGTAGAGGCTGTAAAGGTGCACGCAGTGAAGGACTTGACTTCACTCGTTGACAGACTTCGCATGCGCGAACATACTTTCGCACAAACTGATACTGGCGGGGCCAGTAAAAGTCTCTACTTACCGTGAGATATGTTTTCTCTCGGCCACGATGTCCTCCTATAGGAGCATCGTGATACTCGAACATGATCCGCAAACGCAGATCAGTATCATCTGGAATGACAACACGTGGTGTGTCACCAGAAACGGCTGTATAATACAGTAAACCGTTGCGAGTAGTGTATCGATCTGATGAAGATCGATACGCAGACGACAATCGTTTCAACGATTCTCGAGATGGTTGGGAGAGATGTGTCAACAACTTCACTATCTTACCATCTTGGGCGTATGCCCGCCTCACATCATCATACAACGTTGTAGATGGGAATGAGGACGTCATAACCGCAACAGTGACTGTCTCACTGTTGGGTTTCACGACTGGTTCAAAGTCGGGACGACGTGAGAGTGCATCAGCGACGACATTAAGTCGTCCTGGTTTGTACTCGACCGTAAAGTTGTATTCCGCAAAGAATGACAACCACCGCGCTATTCGTTGTGAAAGGTGCGGGCTGTTCACTGCCGTGCGTAATGACGCATGGTCAGTGTAAACAATGAAGGGTCTATCTCATAATAGATAGACTCTGAACTTCGCGAGTGCATACTTCATGGCAAGGAGTTCCTTGTCATGCACTGGATAGTTCCGCTCAGCTGGTTGCAGCTGACGCGACTGATAGCAGACGACGCGTTCAACGCCTTCTAGGTCGTACTGCATTAATGCACAGCCGATTGCGAAATCGCTGGCATCACAGACCACATGAAATGGCCTGTACTGATCGGCTATTGCTAGGACTGGAGATTGTATCAAGCTCTGCTTGATACCATCAAAGGAGCGCTGACATTCAGCGTTCCATAACTACCTCTCGTTCTTTTTCAACAAACGAGAGAGGTGTACAGTCATCTCGGCGTAATTGCGTGAATACTTATGCAAATACGCCGCTAGCCCAAGGAATTTTCGAAGACCTTTGACATCAACCGGCACAGGCCAGTCGGTGATCGCCTTGATCTTTACGGGATCAGGACGTACTCCGTTCTTACCAACGATGCACCCAAGAAGTGGTATTTAGCTTGCTGCAAATATACCCTTCTTGCGTTTTGCATACAATTGATGCTTTCGCATGATTGTAAGAACCTGTCGGACGTGGTATCTGTGAACCTCAACGTCCGACTTTCCATCCATAGCTCGACTATGGATGAATAGGTCATCGAAATAACTCGGCGCGAATTCTCGTACTGGTCTCAACAGATGTGATATACATCTGTTGAACGTGGCAGGGGCATTACTAAGCCCTTGTGGCATTACTAGCCATTCCCAGAGCATGCCGCTAGGCGTGCTCACTGCGGTATAGGGTATATCCCGTTCCCGCATAAGGATTTGATAGAAGCCATCCATCAAATCCATGGACGAAAAGATGGTACTCTTTGACATACCATCAATAATTACGTCCTTCCTCGGTATCGGCGTCTGAGCCGGTACCGTTGCAGCGTTCAATTTGTTGAACGCGTGCACTATCCGCCACCCTCCTGTTGCTTTTCGCACACAGAAGGTCGGAGAGCTATGTGGGGAAGTTGATTCCCTCACATGGCCCGCAGCTAAACGATCGGCAAAGAACTTGTCGATCGCAAGTACTTGTTCACGAGGCAGTGGCCACTGCTTCATGACACAGTACTTCCAGCCTGGTTTAAGCTCGACCTCGTGTCGAATACCTTTATCCTTCGGTAATTCGCACGGAACAGTTTCAGGGAATACATCCTTGAATTCAACCAAATCTTCATAGAGAGGATTTTTCTTGAGCGATTCCCATGATTGGGAGTCATATCGCTCAATTCGTGTCTTTTCATCTAGGACACTCTCGTCCATAGATGAACTACTGAGAACTCTCTCGTTCTCAGTGAACACTGTTGCTGACCTTATGTCGGTTGCACACTCGTCGTCAGCGACGAGTATGCAGATCTGCTTGACTTTGCCACTACGCAGATCACGCAAGAACCTTTTATGTTCGAGCGTTGGCAACTGAGTGATCTCCGAAGTCAACTTCGGAGGCGCAATCAGATCAAGTGTATAAGCGCCTACACTTGATCCGTTATTGACTATGACATTTAATGTCTCTGTAATTTCCTGGGGACTTATTCTCTCAGGCTTCGAAGGACTTATTCCTTCGTCTTCCCGGGGACTTATTCCCGCGGGTTTCGGGGAACTTATTTCCACCGTATTTGTAATCTTGGGACTTATTCCCTTTACTTCCTCTAGCTGGGGTTGCGCAACCACATCGAGATCCTCTACGAAAGACTCTCCAGTCGATCTAGGATTATCGTTTCGCTTAACCTGAGCGATCGATTGTTTCTCTTCTAGATGTTCCCCGCTAGGGATACATCTTTGTCCCATTCCACCCGACTTATTCGAGTGGTGGACCTTCGGCGCAGCCTGTGTTTCCTCACAGCCGCCGGAACTTTGCTCCGAAGTGTAACCGTTTGGTACACTAAGGTTTTGTGCAGTCGTACTAACGACCGTACCACAAGTGAGGCCATCGCACTCACTCGTAGTACATCCACACGCTTGTGGACGCTCCAAAACGTTCATCAGATGGCCATCTGATGAACAAGCGGCAGGCATCGTTACTGTTCGATGTTGCCAGTTTACCCGTGGTTCGTACCTTCTGAGCCACGGTATTCCAAGGATGACGTCAAATTTGTCATCCAAATCCAATACGATAAAGTCATCGTCATATTGGGTATCTTCTAGCGTATAGTGGATCTTCACTATACGCTTCATGACGGTTACGGATGCGCCTGTCGCAAGACGTACCGTCATCCTCGTAGGAGGTGTGTCACATTCACTGAACTTAAAATGACCATCTTCTAGCGATTGGCGTCGCACAAAATTGTTGGACGCCCCACAATCGACTACAGCTCGAAGGGACAACTTATTCGTCACTTCGAGTTTCAAGGTAATGAGTGAGACCTCATTACCTAGAGCAGCAACGCACAATGTTTGTGTGTTAGGAGCAACCTTCATCAAGAGGCCTACAAATTCTCTTGACGTTGCTGGATCAGTAGGGTGCTCCGCACCTACTGATCCTGTCCGTTTGTTGACGGTCCATCCCGTTGTTGCGTTTTTGCACCAACAGCGAACCCTCGTCCCTGCCCCTTTCTCATGGGTGGACGGTCACTACGCCCAGTGTCGCGAGACACTGGACGAGGGGCACTACACTCGTAAGCGTAGTGTCCTGTCTTTTGACATCTGTTGCATCTCTGCAACTTCTTGTAGCCTGTAGAGCGAGCCTTCTCACTCTCTACATAAAAGAGTTCCATCGGCTCTGGACCTCCGTTGTCATATCGTCTCGGTTGACGATATGATGTCGAGCTGGCGCGAGCCTGTCTCAGACTGAAGTCTTCCTGCTCCGCAATGGAAATGGCTTGTTCTAGTGAATCTAGTTCAAGCCGGAACAGGTGAGTCTTGACGGAACCATCCGCAAGACCCTGCATGAACACCGAAACCAACGTGTGTTCATCCACCGGATTGGAACTTATACAACTCGTGAGATGTCGTATATGTTGCGCGTAAGCGTGCACATCACGCTTACCCTGCTTGAGCTTCAAGAGTTCGGTTCGAGCTCTGAACTCAGCTCTAGGCGGTTCAAACGTTTGTCTGAGCCGCGACTTGAAGACTTCCAACGACATAAACGCATATGGGTCGTGCAACTTGAGCCCCAGTGCCCAAGTCTTGGCACGTCCTGCCAGATTTGACTGGGCAAATGCAACTTGCATATCCCCGTCGTCGATGCGACGCGTCCTTATGGCGTCATCCAATTCGACGAACCATCTCAAGAGGGAGTC